AAAAAAAAGTCCAATCAAGCAAAAAAAAAAAAAAAAAAAAAGTTCTACAAAAGACACCAATGTGGTTATTCGGTTAGAATCAGTTCAGTGTTGATCCAATTCAGTTCAGTACCAGTGTCAGTGGCTGCGTTTACACTTGGCATTAACATGCGACCTGTATCCGGATGTTGTCCACATACACATTGAAAAGATAAGTATCTACACCAGACGTGACAGTTGTCTCACCGTGCCGCTACAGTGTGAGGCTGTCTACACTGGACGCGATAAAGTGACCATTGCAAATCATTTAAACTTTGTGTCAGTACGTCATAAATAGAACGAAGCAACAGTTTACTGTCGGGGATTTGTCGTGCCGCGCCACATCCAGTGTACTGATTATAATGGGTTCTATAGTATTTTGTCGCGCCGCTCGCATCCGGTGTAGACACGTTGTAAGACTTATTCAAATGTAGCGCGGGAGAGAGAGATCCGATTGGTTATTCTTAATTGTAAATGTGCCGTGTCCTGATTGACTGATGATCCGATCTGCTTGATCAGATCACGGTGATCGCATGTTAATGCCAAGTGTAAACGCAGCCAGTGTTGTAAAACACGATTCAGCTGTAAAGCAACTTTACAGATGTTCTACTTATCTGTAAAAAAAAAACACATTAATGACATTTAAAATGGTTCTCTCGAGGCAACTGTCATGTGTTACTTACAGCAGCACTATGTAACTTTTGGCGCTCTAGCGGTTAATAAACAGAACTGCACACATCCCGCGGAAGAACATTCCAACCGGAGCTACTTCTCTAAGTTTATGTCTATGGCGATTCACGCAGGTATGTGTTCCTCCGCAGCAGTGACGACCAGACCAGGCTACAATAGTCCAAATATAAGTACTTATTATAAGTGTACCGTAGTGATTCGGAATAAGACAAAAACGCGGTTTGGAAGATGAATTCATGATGGACTCGCTCATTATATACATTTAGCAAATTTTGAACAGAAAAGGTTACATAGTGCTGCTTTAAGGTTTCCTTTTCAGTTGAAACATTTTTACTCTGTTGGCAGTTGAAAGAGTTTCCTCCAATGTGAATTCTCATGTGGACTTTAAGGTTTCCATGTGGGGCAAAACTCTCTTCACACTTTTGGCATCTCTAAGGCTTCTCTCCAGTGTGAGTTCTCAAGTGCCTGTTAAGGCTTACTTTATGATTGAAACATTGTCCACACTGCTGGCACATGAAGGGACTCTCTCCATTGTGAATTCTCATGTGGACTGTAAGGTTTCCATGTTGACAGAAGCTTTTTCCACACTGAGGGCATGTGTAAGGCTTATCGCCATTGTGAATTGTCAAGTGCCTTTTAAGACCTATTTTACGAGTGAAGCTTTTTCCACACAGCTGGCAGGAAAAAGGCCTCTCTCCATTGTGTATTCTCATGTGGATTTTGAGGTATGCATGTTGACTGAAACTTTTTCCACACTGAGGACAAGTGTAAGGATCCTCTCCAGTGTGAATTCTTATGTGGACTTTAAGGTTTCCTTGTTGAGCATAACTCTTTCCACACTGAGGGCATGTGTAAAGGTTCTCTCCAGTGTGAAGTCTCATGTGAACAGTAAGGTGTGCTTTTTGAGCAAAACTGTGTCCACACTGAGGGCATGTGTAAGGCTTCTCTCCAGTGTGAACTCTCATGTGCTTGTTGAAGTTTCCTTTTTGATTGAAACTTTTTCCACACTGTTCGCAGGTGAAAGTCTTCTTTCCAGTGTGAATTCTGATGTGGTCTTTAGGGTTTCCTTGTTGATTGAAACTCTTTCCAAACCGTAAGCAAGTAAAATAACTTGTAGTTTCTTTCTCTTGAGCTCTTTTTCGTGTGGAAGTCTTTTCAATCTGAGAGCAACAAAAAGATTTTTCTCCAGTTATGAAATATTGATCTTCCTCTTCTTTTTCTTTAAGTACTACTTTCTCCTCTTTCAGTATCATTAGGTCTAAGGTGAAAAACAAAGAAAAGTTAACAGCAGTTTAATAGCACAAGACAACAGATATCAAAACATTTAGATATGTAATGCATCAAAACCATCAACATGAACGCTTGATCATATACCTGCTCTGGAGGGCCGGTGTCTTACAGAATTAACCTCCAACTTGCCCCAATACACCTGCCAGAAGTTTCTGAAGTTCTGAACTCTGGCCCTTGAAAACCCCTTTTCCAGCAGAGTTTATCTCCAACCCTAATCAAACACACCTGTACATGCTAATGAAGGTCTTCTTTATTACAAGAAAGCTAAAGGCAGGCGAGTTTTATCAAGGCAGGAGCTAAACTATTGCAGGAAAGGGGACCTCGAGGGCCAGAGTAGAGACCCGCTCCCGCAAGATTCTGTCCTTGGCTTGGGGAAATGTAAGTATTTGGCTTCAATAATTTACATGTTAAAAATGTATGTGTAATAGCATAACCTCTCATAATTCCTCATTAATTCTTTTCTGATGACTAAAACATAACCTACAACAGTAGAGGTGACTTCAATTCATCATCTAATGCACATCAATGGGTTAACTTAAAAAAATGTATATAATAAGTGTAAATAATTTGTTTTCATAGCTATATTGTAGAAGTTGTTAAGAAAGACTGCAACTATTTTCATGAAACTATAACACTAATAGCCTTTTACAGGCACACTTAGTTCAATAGCCTATTGAAATGTCTTGGCCTATGTGACACTAGAAAATTCAGTTTTAATTTACAGTACAGTGCAAATGAAGGCATAAATCAATTTAATTGATCTTTTAATCAAATGAGAGTTAAACTCTTTATTTTTTGGCAAAGGGTTTACTATTAAAATTAAAACATGGAAGAAATAGCGTATTGTGTGATTATTCTTTTAAACAAAAGTTGTAATAATTGTTGTAGTAGTAGTATTATGTATATCATACTGCACCACAGTAATATATTTCTGATCATTTCTTTAAGCTAACCCGAACTTATATTTTGACGGGTTGCCATGAGGAACTTTTAAGTTTCTGTAGCCTATGTAAGTATTTCCCATACATTGATTTATTTGTGGTGCCCGCCACAATATCAGAACTGACCCCCACAAATAGATTTTCCAAAAGACTTTGACTTTGTTGAATAAACATGATCACTGCACGTTTCAAAATTGAAACCCGGTGCGGGTGTTTTTATATCACTGTATTTCTGAAGGAAATTTTGGATGTCATTTTTATTTCATCTTGTATGTAATATCTGATAAAGCAGCGTTTGTGAGTGGAGCGCTGCTTTGTGTACAGTGTTACCGGGGAAACCTTGATCTCTACCACTCCAACAGCGCCTCCTGATGGCAGAGAATGAATTTGCATATATATGCCGCCACAAATAGAGTGTAAGTCTGTGGGAAACACTGCTATAGTTTTACTCAAATGAAACTGTCAAATAATCATGAAGTGACTCTCAGAGGGAGTCAGAGCAGTTCTGGAGATGTTCATGTATTTATGTCCTCATGTAGTGAGACGACAGAAGCTGAAATCACCGCGAGCGTCGCACACTTTGTATGTGTAGAAAGCAAAACCGCGCGTCTGTGCCATTTACATACACTGAGACACACAGAACATGCAGGATTCATATTTAAATAGTATTTTTGCAGCTTAATATTTACAGATACTAGTCCATATCGTCACTCTATTTAAGTGTACTGACCTACTTTTGATTAATTCATCCAAACTTTGACAAATTCCGTGACATTCCGCGTCATACTGTAAATTCCATTTATGACTGGATTCCGCGATTCCGTCCACATTTTCTGCATCGTGGAAATCATAGATAATATTGAGGTGTTTTGCAACTTCAGTGTAACGTTAGTGGATTGTGATTTATTGCAA